AACGTGGCCTTAGCCCATTGAACATTGGTGGATAAATCCATATTGTTAAGCTCAGCCATAGTCTAACAAAACCAATAGAACAGTAACTGATTCAAATAAAGTTTTCTTGGTAAGTACAAAACCAAAAAACCTCACCAAGAAAAACACCCAGAAGAAAGAGAAGCCACTAGAGGAAGAGAAGGAACCAGTAAGCAACCACAAAATCAGGAACTCCATGGAAACCCTAGCAGAGTACCCACAAAGTCAGCCGCCAGTCCAAGCTCCATTTTTTATTATTTCTAAAACTTATATATATATATATATATATATATGTTGCAAAAAGGAGCCTCTTTTGTCTCCCTCTGTGTTAATTACTTAAATATGATCAATACATCCAGAGAGTGTTACAGTAGGGAGAAGAGAGAGTAAAGGCTACATCAAAATGTGAGGTAATTAAGAAAATACAAGGCATGTCTAAAAAAAGAAAGTAAATAAAGCATCTAGTTCCTAGCAATTCTGAGGTAAGGTATTTGTAATTTGTCACCCTTTAACAGGTCAGAGTAGCAACAGTTACTCTTTGGGACTCAGCACCTTCAATAGCTAGGTAGTTAGCTAGTTTGTTTCCTTCCCTATAGGTAAAACAATAATTGATTTGTATCTCCTTGTTAAGATGTTTTATCTTAATAATCCACTGTTGGATATGCCATGGAGGTACAACAATACCTGTCATATACTCAATCAGCATAAAGGAATCAACCTCAGCTTGAATTTGTGTCCATCTGTTTATGACTGCCATTTTGATGACCCAGTAAAGAGAACCTGCCTCAGCTTTCAAGGCATCTTCAACAATAATTGAAGCTTTGAAGAAAATTATGCATCTGCCTTTGTAATCTCTGAATACCCCTCCAAATTCTGCTGTGTGGGTTGTGAAGCTTCCATCAGTGCTAACTTTAAGGTGAGGATAACTGGGTTTTTTCCAGTCGACTTTAATGACTTTACTGCAGATCTGATCTTTCCAGTTTGACCAGCACTTCTTAAGTTGTTCCCATCCCAAGTTGATAGTGTTGATGTGGAAATTAATTGTCAGGGATCCCCAAACCTTCTTGGAGAAGTCACACTGAAAAAAAAGATGAGTAGCTGTCTCTTCACTGTTCTGGCAGAGATAGAATTTTGAAGGCCCCTTCAAGACCTTTAACTTGAGAATGTCATCAGTAGGGATTAAGTTATTCAGCACTCTCCAATAGAAGAAAGCTATTGAGGGGGATAAGAATTTTTTCCACAGATTTTCACCCCAAGAGGTTTCCTCCTGGGTGAACAACTGATTGTAAATGGCTTGGGTCACACTTTGGGTTGAGTTAACTTTTATAATCATCCTATCCTTATTATTTCTATCAAATTGGAGTTTAGATATCTGCCTCATGGAGTTTTCTGTGATAACCTTTTGGAGTACTTCCTGAGACCACTTCTGCCCCTCCCAGCAATCCTTCACCATTATGTTCTTGTCCAAATTCTCATCCAAAGGTTCAATAGTGTTCTCTGGGCACCATTTTTCCTGCCAAAAGTTGATGTTACATTGACCCAACTCCCAAGTGTAGAGATTTTCATCTTGTTCCTTCATTTTCAGCATCTGTTTCCAGGTCATAGAGTCTCCCAGTTTGGCCCTCACCTGGTTAGGATGATCAGTTCTGCAATACTTGGAGTGCCTGAAATTTGGCCAAAGGTTGTCATTCTGTTTGAACATCAGCCAAAGTTTACACATGCTAATTTGGTGTAACTGTTCAAATCCCTTAAAGCCTAAAGCCCCAGCATATAGAGGTTTGGCAGCTTTCTGCAAGCTTGCCCAGATCCTATTTTTCCTATTCCCATACCACAAGAATCTGCTGAAGGTTCTTTCCAACATAAGTTGAGTGATTTTCCACAATATTTGATTCATCACTGCCACTTGTAAGGTCTAAAGGGGGAAGGTGGTTAAGTTGCTTTTCAGCAAGGTAATTCTGCCTCCATTAGACAGGAAGGAATTTGCCAACCCTTGGAGGGTAGCAATGGTTTTATCCACTATCTCATTAAATTGTATTTATTTGTTCCTTCCCTTAGTAAGATAAACCCCCAAGTAGTTAAAGGGGATATACATAGCTTTGAAACCAGTGAGCTCTAAAATCAACTGTTTGCAGGCTATGGAGCAATTCTTGCTGAAGAGAATGTGGCTTTTATCTTTGTTCACTTCAAGACCAGAAGCTTGTTGGAACTTTTGCAAATATGCATACAGATGTTTGATAGCATTCTTATTAGCTCTGGAGAAAATTAAGATGTCATCAACATAAATCAGATGGTTGATGTCTTGTTTGGATCTATTGAGAAAAGTGTTGTAATCTTTTTTCTTGCCAGGTTTATCTATGATTTTAGACAGGTAGTCCAGAGCCAGTATGAAAATGGTTGGAGATAATGGGTACCCTTGTCTCAAACCCTTGTTAGCCTTGAAAAAACCATGGGTTTTCTCATTAATTAAAACAATGTTAACATTTCCTACAAGCCATCTCTGGATGATTTTATAGGAGTCTTTTGTAAAAGCCCTAGCCTTCATAATCTCCATGATGAAGTTCCAATTGATCATATCATAAGCCTTCTTCAGTTCCAGTTTAAATATCATGTTTCCCCCTCTGTAAGGTTTATCTATATCCAACAGAAGCTCTTGGGCTATCATAATGTTGTCCCTTATGTTTCTCCCTTCACAAAAACTGCTTGTTTGGGGCTAATGAGATGTTGCAGAATGGGATGGATTCTAAAAACCAGAATTTTGCTAATGATCTTACTAACAATGTTAGTAAGACTAATAGTTCTGTAGCTACTCCAATACTCTTTATTGATGATTTAGGGACAAATATAATGGTAGTAGTATTGAAATAGTATGGTAAAGGTTGTCCCTAGAAGTGGTGTTGTATAGCTTCAACAATCTGTACTTTGATGACCTCCAAAGCCTTCTTATAGAAATCATCCGTGAAACCATCAGGACCTGCTGATTTGGCACTATCAATAGGGAAGAGAGCTCTTTTTATTTCTTCCTCTCTAGGGGTTTCAACTAGCTTTATCTTGGAACAAATGTCCTTCTCATCTTGGAACAATTCTGATTCCACATGTTGTCTTTCAGTTAATTCACAATGCATCAGATCTTTACAGTAGGCCACAACACTGTCAGCAATCCCTTGAGCATCTCTGATCCAATTTCCTTGGTTGTCTTTGATAGAGTGAATGGTGTTGCGAGTGAATGGTGTTGCTTTTTTATTGATACTTGATGCAGGCATGATAAAATCTAGTGTTTATGTCGCCATCCATGAACTTGTTCTTTCCTGCCTTCTGCTTCAGGAATTGTTCTTGCCATTCTACAACATTCAATAACTTTTGATTGGCTTCCAGAAGGAATGAATCTCCCACCTGACCCTTGCTGTGTCCTTCCTCCAGAAGTTGGAGCTCTTTCTCAGCCTATTCCACTCCAGTCAGAATATTCCCAAATGTGCTCCAATTCCCAACGGGCAACACCTTAACCAAAATAGTGTCGACAGCTTCTAATGACTCCACTGGAGATGTGCTTCTCTCTTTATTTAAATCAAGAATTATTATTTTCATAAATCAGTAATAGGTTCATGTCCCTCATGAACCAAATTATCTTTCTTCCATTGGCATGCTTAACCCATTTCTTTCTAAGGAAATTACGGTCAACTCTTTTGCACATCAGGATCGTCTGTTCAATAACCTTTGAACAAAGAGGTTCAGGAGGCCATTAAGGACTTATTTTAATCTTTGTGTGGGGTCGGACCCCCAAAAGGTGTGATGGTGGATTAGTTTCTCTTTTTGGACTAGTTTTGCCCTGGCATTATATGTTGTAATGTCTGGTCCCACACTAGGTCCTGAACCCTACTTTCCCTTTTGAAGCCTGCTTTGCTCTGTTACAAATTAAATCGATTCATGTCATGCTTTGCTTGTTATTTAAATTCTTTAACAAATTAAATCCTTTAACTTTCAAACTATTTTTACTAAGTTTTAAAATTGTGACAAATTAAAAATTAAATAAAACTAAAATTTGCCCAGTCCACGGATCGCCTTTATTAGTTTTTAGTATTCGCACTAACATTACAAAGTATTGGCTAAATAACTAATCTCAAAGCTTTCTTTTTAAAGGTGCTGTAATGGTGTTTCACACGCTCACCTTTTCCTGAAATTTGCCAGATAGCCGCAACGCTCGCAATGTCACTTCAACCATCAACTTCACAGCTGGATTCAATGAAATTGAAGGAAAGGCCCCATTTGTTGTAGTGAAGGTTGCCGCTCCAAAAATTTAGGAGCCCTCTCCTGAGTTTGACTTGAACTGTCCTAACGAATTCCCTTCTTCCAAGAAGAAGAAAACTACTACTCCCCTAGCACCTGCCAAGTCTTTCGATCCCTTTTTCTTCTATAGGAAAGGAGATTATGATCATAAAAGATGAAACTGAGGAATATACCATCCCTCCATCAGTGTTTGAGATTGGATCGAGTTCAAAGTCTACATCGCTAACTTGATCACGAAGAAAGAACCACAGATCTCAGAGAAAGTATCTGATGATGAGTTTCCTCTTGAAGAGGAATTTAGATTACAAGAGACCTCTCCACTTCTGTAAGGTAGTGGGTTCTACCCCTTAATGGATACTAATGGGTACGAAAGTATCCAGAAGATTGCTGCCACTTTATTGTCACCTCATAGACAAGGTGGGGAGAGGAAGAAGCCTGCTTCTATCACTCGAGTCAGTACAATTTTCCAGAGACTGCCCACTAAAGAAGAATGTTTTAGTGCTCAAATTGCTTAAGCAAATGGGAAATGCGATGTCCCCGCAAATGAAGAAAGAAATCCTAAGGGACGTCAGGATTGCCCGACATTCCCACAAGTCAGCTGAAGCTTTACGAACACGTAATCCCATCAGATTCCGTCTAGAAAGTTTAATTGATACTACAGTTGTCACAACAGATTTTGTTGCCTCTACTGCTCCAAAGTCTACAGGACGTCAACTGGTTAAGTCAAGTCAGGGTCTAAAAGTTCAACTAGTTACTACTCACAAGAGTGTCTTGAAAAAGGAAAAGATGAAGAAATTACCCTGTATTGTGAGTTGTTCACACCGCAGGGAGCACACTTCCCTCTGGCATGTCGATGCCTCTTTTAAGATACCTCATCTCAAGACATCATTATCAAGAAAGAAGGTGTGGGTACCCAAAGTCACCATACCAATACGGTCAGCTGAGCTCGCAGGGCAGAACGACAAGGTAGAACAAAAATTTGAAATATTTGTTACAAAATTTGATGAACAAGTGAAGGATGTTCAAGGAAATTCTCCAGATCTTAAGACAATTCAAGAGGCGATAATTGAAGAAAAGGTCTAAAAACTCAGAGCTGAGATTTTTGAGCTAGCCAAAGAACATGGTGTAACAATTAATGATGATGATGAGGAGTCTGACTCAAAGCTGAGATTTCTGAGCTAGCCAAGGAACATGGTGGTGTAACAATTAATATTAATGATGATGATGAGGAGTCTGACTCAAAGCTGAGATTTCTGAGCTAGCCAAGGAACATGGTGTAAAAATTAATGATGATGATGAGGAGTCTGATTTTAGTAATAAACTTAATGAAGATTTCATGGATATTCATGTCATCAAGAAAAGGTTGAAAAACTCAGAGCTGAGATTTTTGAGCTAGCCAAAGAACATGGTGTAACAATTAATGATGATGATGAGGAGTCTGATTTTAGTAATTACCTTAATGAGGAATTCATGGATATTCATGTCATCAAGACTAGATCTATGAGGATTTCATGGATATTCATGATGAGGATTTCATAGATATTGATGCCTAAACTCTCATCGAAGGGAATGTCGTGTATGATTTGCGCAGAGCTATTTTTATAAGGGATGAACATATTAGGCAAATGGAAAAGCAAATGGATGAGATGGCCGCCACAATGGCTGCCATGGCTACAGCTAATGGGCAATCCAATCAAAGCAGGTGGCTTCTCTAGGAGTTAACCAGCCTGAAATAATCCATATCACCGATGAACAAAGAGAGGTTGCTTCCGCTAATGGAGAAGAGCAGCAAAAGAAAGATTCCTCACCAAATACCATGCCTGAGAAAGATATTAAGTAATTGGTCGAACAACAAGTTTGAGAGGCATTAGCCCAGTCTAAGGGTGATGCATTGATTTCAAGGGGTAGACCTTACCCATAGGATTTTGATGCCATACCCTACCCTAAGGGTTTTGTGTCACCAAACTTCAAAATATTTGATGGGATTGGGAATCCCAGGCAACATCTAGCACATTTTCGGGCTAGTTGTGGCAACATAGGAGGTAATGAACCCTTAGGGAGGTAATGAAGCCTTACAATTCTGACAGTTCGTCATCAGCCTATCAGGGATTGCTTTTGATTGGTATGTCAAACTACCTAATGGATACGTTAAGAAGTTTTTCAAATTAGAGCAAGTTTTCGCAAAGAGAGTTTTTGGAGCACATCATCATGTTTCTATTTGGGATCTTGTAGTGGAGAAGCGAAGACCCAACAAAAATCCAATGGATTACATCTTGAGGTGGAGAAACCTTTGCATTAAATGTGAGCCTGAACTACAGAAACAACATGTGATTGAGATTCTACTCAAGATAACACACGGGTTAGTAGCTTTTATGCATAAGGGACTCACTATCAAGTCCTTCTAGAAGTTGTTAAGTAAAGCTAGTAGTTTACAAGAGGAAGCTAAATCAATGGATTCTCAAGAGAAAATGGTGAAATCTAGGAAAACCAGAGCATTCGAGAAGAGGTCTGGGATAGTGGCAACAGTCAATAAAGGAAAGCAACCAATGAAAATACAAGTAGAGCATTCTCACCAAAGTTCTCAACAATTCAGCAACTGTTACAGCATGTTCA